TATATATATATATATATATATATATATATATATATATATATATATATATATATATATATATATATGTCTCCTCCTCTTTATTTGTTTATCTGTCTCCTTTTTTCTTTATGTGTCTCCTTCTGTATATTCGTCTGTCTCCTTTTTATTTGTTTCTGTTTCTCTTCTTTATTTATTTACTGTCTCCTTTATTTATTGTTATCTGCCTTATCTTTACTTATTTATTTATTTATTTATTTATTTATATATTTATATATTTATTTATTCGTTTATTTGTTTATTTATTCATGTATTTATTTATTTATTTATTTATTTATTTATTTATTTATTTATTTATTTATTTATTTATTTATTTATTTAGATTTATTTATTTATTTATTTATTTATTTATTTATTTATTTATTTATTTATTTATTTATTTATTTATTTATTTAAGGTGGCTAGGGAGCCTGTCCCCATACGTGTCTCTTTCTGTCTCTTCTTTCTCTCTTTCTCTCTTTCTTTCTTTCTTTCTTTCCTTCATAACTAATTAATTAATTAATTTAAATAAATAAATAAATAAATAAATAAATAAATAAATAAATAATAAATAAATAAATATATATATATTTGTATATCTTACCTGGCTAGGGACTCTGTCCTCATTTGTTGTGTGAGGTCTCCGTGTAGCTCAGCAGCAGAAATACCCAACAAAGAAAACAGCAGAAAGGCCTCGTGAGCTGCTTTCTTTGTCTGCAACAAATAAATAAATAAATAAATAAATATATTAATATATAAATACAATATCTCTTCCTCGTGCTGCTGCTGCTCCTGCTGCTTCTGCTAGCTGCTGCAGTTGCTGCAACCCTGAAAAGAGAGAGGAGGCGCTTGGAGGGGAGTTCGATATAGGTAGCTAGCCAGCTAGCTAGCTACCTGTCTAGCTAGCTAGCTAGCTAGCTAGCTAACTAGTTATCTCTCTAGCTAGCTAGCTAGCTGCCCACTTCTATCGCCGAGCTATCTTTCTAGGTACCCACGGAGCTATCTAGCTAGCCAGCCAGCTAGCTATCTGGCTATTTTCCTGTCTCTTTTTCTTTCTTTCTAGCTAGCTAGCTAGCTAGCTGGCTATCTCTTCTTCTCTTTCTAGCTAGCTAGCTAGCTAGCTAGCTAGCTGGAGGCTGACCCCGAAGAAGACGATGACTCTGCGTTGAAAGGAAGTCCTGACGAGGTGTACGAGTGCCGGCATTCGCTGCTGCTCTCCATGCAGCTCAACAAACTGCTGCTGCAGGTTTTCTGGCAGCTGCTGCTGCTGCTTCTTGCTGCTGCTGCTGCTGCTGCTGCTGCTGCGGGGCTCGCAGCTGATGTGCAGCGGAGACTGCAGCGCCAGAAGAGCCAAAGAAGAGATAGCCGGAGACATCGTCGCGGAGAAGAGCAGAGTCTGCCGCCCGCGGTGGCAGTGCCGCAGCACTTGCAGTATCTGCAGCAACCCACACACACAGACACCCAGCTAGCTAGCTAGCTAGCTAGCTAGCTAGCTAGCTAGCTAGCTAGCTAGCTGGCTAGCTGGCTGGCTAGCTGGCTAGCTAGGAGGAATAGTGCCGCACCTGATCTCTGAAACCCAACTCCAGCAGACGGTCCGCCTCATCCAACACGATCACCTCCAGCAGCTCCAGGTGAGTACTCTGCGCAGCAGCAGCAGCAGCAGCAGCAGCAGCAGCAGCAGCAGCAGCAGCAGCAGCAGCAGCAACAGCAACAGCAGCAGCAGCAACAGCGATGATAGGAGAGTGGTCAGATGAGGAGAGACACGGGCCTTTCAGAAGCAGCAGCAGCTGTCGCAGCAGCTGGAGAGGCAACACAGCAAGCAGCCCAGCAGCAGCAGCAGCAGCAGCAGCAGCAGCAGCAGC